CTTTCCCTGTTTCATTTTAATAACTGGCCATTAGATTGCTCTTTCTTAAAACAGCACCTTGATCACATACCTCATCAGGCATCAAAACCTTCTTTGATTTTTTGATGCATATTCAAATCTCTCCACAGTCTGAATCATCCCATTCACCCAACCCCCTCTCCCATGCACCTCCCAGCCCCTATGTAATGAATCCTGTCCTCCAGTTCAGCTACTCTGTTCCATGCTTCCAGTGTCACTATACACATTCCTGTCTCCATGCCTTTGTTCACGTTATTTCCCTGTCTGAAAGACATTTTCTCTTTCCCCATTTTATCTTCCCTTTAAAGCCAAGTTTAAGACTCCCTTCCCTTCCATGAAGTCTTCCCAGATGTTCCAGTTCTGGGTTCTCTCTGTCTCTTCCCAAAATGGCAATAGTTAACTTCAGCATGCCTTTGACATCAATGACCTATGTCAGCAAGCAGTAGCGTCAGCATATCAGCCAACACCATTTACTAGCACCTGCTATGTGCTAGGCACTGTGTTGGATACAAGTTTCAGAACCATTGACCTAAATGAAGTTTCCTCCTCCTTACTACCTATGTGAGTTGAGCATTCTTTATAGCTTCTCTGAGCATCAGTTTATCCATCTGTAACACGGGGACACAATAACTATCTCGGAAGGCTGTTTGCAACTGAGCTGACATAATCCACATAGAGTGCTTTGCACAATCCAGGCATCTTAATAAGAGCGCTACAGCCCGGCAAACGTGGCTTAGTAGTTGAGCATTGACCTAGGAACCAGGAGGTCATGGTTCAATTCCTGGTCAGGGAACATGCCTGGGTTTCAGGCTCGATCCCCAGTTTGAGTGTGGAGGAGGCATCCAATCAATGATTCTCTCTCATCATTGATGTTTCTATCTCTCTCTCCCTCTCCCTTCCTCTCTGAAATCAATAAAAAAATATTTTTTAAAAAGTGCACTACAGCTGTTCCTAAAGTTACTGATCAATGTGTGTAGTTATGAATCAATTAGTCCTATCTGGCTCTCGTGTTCCCAGCAATCTGCACAGTGCCCCGAGTCTAATCAACAGCCAAGATATATGTCTGTTGATTATAATAAACTGTTGCCATTACTAGAACTAATAAACCCGCTCCAAAAAGCCCTAAGTTAATACGCAAAATTCAGACCTATACACATGATTCTGGAACCAAAAACCATAAGTGAATAATCAAATTACCTAAACAATAAAAAACATCCAGGGGCCACAGTAATACAAAAACACCTAGTTACTTGTAAGGAATGCAATGTCAAATTTTAGTAATTAAAAGGCAAGACTGCACAGAAGTTTAACTCCCTGCCAGACATGGTCTGGCTGGCTTTCCTGGGTGTGCTCATAAAGTGTGCCTTCATCTCCTCACCTGTAATTTCCGCAAGGAGCAAGGATGAGTCAGTGTAAATTGTTGTAAAGTAACAAGCTGTGGTTGTTCCATTCTTCAGTGTTCTCCTCTAAAAATACACCACAAAACCCATAAGTCACATGTGCCAAGAAAGTCACGTGGCATATACAGATGAAAATAGAATTCTAGGTCCCAGTATTAAAATGCTTTTATTTAAAGATATGACACCTTAATATGAAATACAGTTCAGATAAATGGCAAAGTACTGATATTCCAAAAGTGTGAGCTGGAGGAGAAGTTGATATTTTTGATTTCCTAGATTCATATAGTTGTATGTTGCAGAATTCATTAAATAGGGTGCTAATTAATTCCTTATCTTTTAGGTTTGGCTGAGCTTATGCAAACCTTATTGCATCTGGGAGTGAATAAAGGAAATTTTTCTGTCTATTACAGGGTAAAATAATTCATCCAGACTTCTCGTTCAAGCTGGCACATTGGTCACATGCATCTCTCTCTCTTCCTCAGTGAATTTCCACTAAAATAACAGTAAAAGAGTACAAATTTTATTCATCATCAAGAGGAACATAAGAAGAGACATGAACAGACAAAACATTTCAAAATCTCCTTGGAACACAAAGAATATGGAAAAGAACCTGAAAGCAACTTAGGGGGAGAGAGAGAAAGAGAGAGAGAGAGAGAGACATTTCAACATCTCCTTGGAACACAAAGAATATGGAAGAGAACCTGAAAGCAACTTAGGGGGAGAGAGAGAGAGAGAGAGAGAGAGAGAGAGGGAGAGAGAGAGATGTTGTTGTTAACAGGAAATTGGCTTCAAGTCTGTCTACAGATGACTAAGCCCTGGCAGGACCCTTCTTCTTCCTGTTGAAATCAGCCAATCACCACTAACCTCATCTCCTTGGAACACAAAGAATATGGAAGAGAACCTGAAAGCAACTTAGGGGGAGAGAGAGAGAGAGAGAGAGAGAGAGAGAGGGAGAGAGAGAGATGTTGTTGTTAACAGGAAATTGGCTTCAAGTCTGTCTACAGATGACTAAGCCCTGGCAGGACCCTTCTTCTTCCTGTTGAAATCAGCCAATCACCACTAACCTGCTCCTTGCAGGAGAGATTTACTCTTTGTAGAAACTGAGTAGTATTTGGAGTATGTAAGCCCCAAAGGACAAGGCAAGGCATAGTCTGAAAAGAAGAGGTTGAAGAGAACATCTGGCTGATCTCCAGGGGCCCTCGGTCAGCCTGCTAGAAGGTCACACGTATTACCACCACTACTCCTGGCAAGACGGAAGGACTCTTCCCTAGCGAAGATGAGTGGCTCTACAAGGAAGATGTCCTCACAATGATATGTGAGGCCCACAACTGAAAAGGCTATTTACTTCTTTCATTGTTCATCTTAAGCTGAACTTCACTAGTCAATAAGAGCTACCTCCACCCAGACTTTCCGATCGACATCTCAGGGCATCACACTTAAATGTGAATGTATGGCCCAGCTGGTGTGGCTCAGTGGTTGAGCAGCAACTTATGAACCGGGAGGTCATAGTTCAATTCCCATTCAGGGCACATGCTCGATCCCCAGTAGGAGCTTGCAGGAGGCAGCCAATAATGATTCTCTCTCATCATGATGTTTCTATCTCTCTCTCCCTCTCCCTTTCTCTCTGAAATCAATTTAAAATATATAAAAATAAATAAATATGAAGGTATGTTCAAAGTTCAACAGACTCTGGAGGAGAGCTGCTATGAAAAGGAGAAGGGGAGAGAAAGTCTGGAAAAAATAATGGAGGAAACAGAGTCAGAAGGAAGCTTGATTAAAAACAAACAAACTATGATTACGTTCTGAAAGAGTTAAAGAAGATAATCGCATCTACAAGACAGGAACAGAATGCTACAAAAATCAAAGAACAAGAGCTCTCCAAAATTAAACATTTTATGATTACGTTCTGAAAGAATTAAAGAAGGCAATCGCATCTACAAGACAAGAACAGAATGCTATGAAAATCAAAGAACAAGAGCTCTCCAAAAGTAAACATTTTATAAGTGAAATTTGGAAGTCACTAGAAGTGTTGTAGGGTAAATTAAAAGCAAACCCCTCAGGGAAAAAAATACTTTGAACTTAAATAATAAGGAAGAGCATACCCTATATCTCAGCAGTCTGTACTCTGCGTCAGCCAAATGTTGAAGAAAGCAAATGAGCTCAGTGACGTTGTTGGTTAGTCCAAAAGGTCAAGAGAATTTGAAAAGCTGGATTTTTTTTATGTGAATCTTTTCAAATTTTAAGACACTTTGCACATGAATAAAATACATCTGGCTGCTAATAGAGGATGATTAGAGCCCATCAGCTAAAGATGAGGATGAGCCCTCTCTCAGAGTCACAAGTCCAGGGAAA